TCTCTCTGCCTACGGTTTACCCGGCAGTTCTGTTTGTGACGATATATATATATATATATATATATATATATATTGCGAGATTGGCTCAGTATTTTCATCAGCCAAGCAACCAGCGCCTTCGGAAATTATTCTGTGGGGAGTTTCACCGTGTGCGTATTAATACAGACAGCCCTTAGCCAGTATCTCTTTTATTTTTGTTATTGTTTTTTTTTTAAGAACAGCACCTCTTGATCAATGCAAGCTGGGACTCACATATGGGACTAAAGAAAACGAGCAGCTGCTGCAGACTCTTGTTCGAAACTCGATGTATTATTAGCCTATCGGACGTTATTATCCCTTTAAAAAGGAAAAACACGAGCGTGATCCTCTTACCTTCTATTCTTCAATTTAATCCTTGACTTTTTTTTTTTCTTTTCTTTTTTTTTTTTTTTTTTTTTGTGCGCAAAAACGGGCCCAGTGCCCAAGGCTGATATCACCAATAAAAAGATTGAGGCCGTGGTGGTCCCCACAGTCTACCTGGAGTCACCGAGCTGAACAAGCTGAGAACCGGGCACAGCGTCCCTCATATGATGATGATTATGATGATTATGATGATGATTATGATGATGATGATGATGATGATTATGATGATGATTATGATGATGATGATGATTATGAAGATTATGATGATTACGATGAAGATTATGAAGATTATGTTGATTATGATGATGATGATGATGATGATGATGATGATGATGGTGATGATGATGATGATGATGAATTTCTAATGATTCTATGACTAATGCTGAAGATATGTGATGAAGATTGATGCTGCTTCGTCTTCCTCTTTCCTCCTCCTTTCTTCCACCTCCTTTCTCATCTCCTCCCTTCTCGCTGCCGCCGCTGAGTCGAACCATTTGATAACAGGCAGTACCAATCGGCTTCAACAAGAAATAAACCCTCCGCTGCATTGATCCCTCGAGGCAATGATTGGCTGTTCCCCGGGGGTGAAGTCCACTCCCGTCCTCCCCCGAATAGAACGCCCCGTCATTATAGCCGTATGTGGACTGAAAACTGGACCACATACGGGTAAAATGACAGGGCGTTCTATTCGGATGCAGACGGTAGGCGGGGGTTTAGTCTTCCTCTTTGGAGTATTTTTCAACGTGGCCACAGTGTGGCCGTGAGATGCTCAGATCGGATGGCAGGAGCCGGTGTGTATTCTGAACTACTAATAAGGGCTTCGCTCCACGACTGCCGAAATGTGCAACGAGAGTGAACCTTTCGCTAGAACATGGAAAGATACACCGCCACGATTTTCGTCCTTTGTGCATTTCGAGAGTAGTGGAGCCAGGCCCTAAGTCCCACTACCGGTAGCTAGGTAGCCCCATGCTAGTGGGACTTAGCCCTGGGACAACATCCCATCATTCTCACAAATTAATAGAAAGCGACCGTCGATTTGGGTCATCTACGGGTCTCCACAGTATGTCTTATCTTCTTCTTCTTCTTTTTTTTTTTTTTTTTTTTTTTAATTGTAAAGGACATTATCTCTCGACATATATTTTTTTTCTCGACATACTTTTGATCAGTCTGGGCACCGAAAAAAAAAAAAAACTTTCTGGGCAAATGGTGGGACGTTACACCCGGGGCCAAGTCCCACGTGGCCTGATTTTTCATTTGTGGCCGTTGATCTTGTTTATTTTTTTTTTTTGATGGTCTTGTTTTTCTTTTTGTTTTTTGATGGCCGTTGATCTTCATCATTAATCCACAGACAGAAATCGACGACTAGGGTCCTAAGTGGGGCTTAGCCCCCGGTGCCGCGGTACAAGCTGTACAGATGGGAATCGGACGGCTGGAACCGGCCCGTAGGAGGGCCGGGGAGGAGACTGTGGGCTGTCCAGTCCCAAAGAGAACGACTATGTCCCACCAGGGGAGCGGGGAGGGAGGGG